CAGTACTGTCCAACAGAAATAAATAAATTGCCTAAGTCTTTAAGATTTTTTAATGGCCATCTTGTATGTAAAATACATAGGTAGAATTAATTTTAATAGCATTTTACTTAACATACCTAAAAAATAAATAATTCAACCTGTTATCAATATAAAAATAACTGAGATATTTTACATATTTTATGAAGTTTTCAAAATCTAACATGTGTTAAGCTTCTCACACATCTTAATTCAAGTAGTCTCATTTCAAGCATTGAATAATCTCACATGTCAAATGGTTACCATACTCCAACACAGAGACACAGAGCCTTTCCCCAGGCACAAATGCTCCTGCTCATGAATTCAGGTGAGGAAGGCCTGCAGGCCTCCTGTACCCAAATGTGGATAAGGACAAAAGCACTTGGTCCTGCTTCTGTTCTATCCGGGCATTGGTCACTGTGTCAAGTCCAGTTCTGCTGTTAGAACCAAATATCTGAGACTGGGTAATTTATAAAGAATAGAAATGTGTTTGTCATAGTTGTAAGGACTCTAAAACTAAAGTACTAGCAGCTTCCAAATCTGGCAAAGGTCTGGTCTCTGCTTCCAAGGTGATACCTTGCTGCCTCGAACTCTAGAGGTGAAGAATGCTGTGTTCTCATAGGAGGGATGGAAGGAAGGATGGAAGGAAATGAATGAATCCACTCCCTATTCCTACCCAATGAGGGCTTTGTCTTCATGACTTAATCCCCTCCAAAAGGCTCCACCTCTCCACTATCCAAGCGTGAACAAAGAAAAAGGGAAATTGAAAGGAAAAACGCAAAAACAAAACAACCAACTCCTCCAGCCTTCTCTTTCTCCAGCACTCCCCTAGACTTGGAGAGTGCTGGCCCAATGACCTCAATTGCCCTACATCTCACTTTTCTATTCCTTAGCTCATTCCCTACTTCTTGTTGATTTAAGATCATCTTTATCCTGGGATTTATTATTGCTAAATTATTGGTAAGCCTTACTCTGCCTTAATTATAGAATCTCCCTGAATCTACCTGGACCTTGAGTATTATTTTGACAATTGCAATTGTCCCAAATACTCAACAATCTCAATGTACATAAAGGAAGTAATTTAATTAATACATTTGTTCAACACTATCCATATCAAACATCATATCTGGCCTACATTGTCTTCATTTTTCTTTTGGCTTTAACACATGGCATTTTATGCTGAAAGAAATTGTACTTTTCTTGTGCTGTGTGAAGCTATGATCCAATATAATCATGTAACAACACTCAAATACAGTGAAGATTTTTCATTGTTTCCCTGGGACTAAAACGGAAATGTTCAGACTCTTCTGGTTCTTTGTATGCAGAACAGGTTCATGGCCATTGATTGACTGATAATACATATTTAAACTTGAGGGCAGTATTTTAAATAGTATTTTCACTCATGACTCAAAAACAGGAACAAAATCACCTCTTTTTATACAAAAGAAACTTAGAAGAGTTTTTTTTTTCCTATGACTATAATTTGAATATAAAATGCACACTTTCAAGATGTCATCTTAGTCAACCGAATTATAAATTCACTAGTTTGAAACTATAATCAAATAATCATTGCATTAAATGAGTTATATTTCTTTTTGAAGTTACTTTCCTCATTGGGGCTTTGTGGAAAAGAAGAACTCTTCTGCAATTGTATAAATTCCTACTTTATTTGGGCTTAGATACTGAGGTATTAACAATGAATTCATGATTTATAGATTACCAGTGCCTTTATATAGAGGCACTCCATTTTCTAAAGCAAGTACAATGATTTCTAACTGAATACCCTTTGATACTGAATATCAAAGAGAATCGTTTTTCCCCTCTCGCTTGCCTGAGTACTTTTTGTTCTGAACTGGTGTACTACCATTTTACAGATACATAAATGAACATAGTGACTGACTGATCAGATACAAGGCAGTCAGAATCAGGATTTAGAATTTTCCCAGAATTAGTGAACATTTTTTTTTTCAATAATTGTATGTGCTTAGGAAAAGATTTGTAGTTTTTCAGCTCCAAATAGATCCATGGTAGATCTTTCCAGGAAGTTCTTATCTGAGTCCTAGGGAAATTACCTAGAATCCAACTTTCCTGGCCACAATTTGCTGAAATTCAAAGGTGCAAGGACCAACTATTGGGAGCTGAATACCCATTAGTTGTCATTAAGGGAATGAATGTGTGTGTGTGTGTTGGATTGTGCATGGGGAGGGAGCTACACAAAATCCCATCCTATTTAAAGAGATTAGATACATCTGATGGGCATTGAAACTCTGGTGTGTGTGGGAAGATGAACTGTGTCTATGCCTGCATCCATGTGCAAGTACTCAAGGGGATTTCTCTTAAAACACCTCAACTGAGGATAGTTGGCCAGCAATGGTTTAGCACTTTCTGATTTTAGATCTTAACTTTAAGGATAAGTCCCTGTCTCTTCATATACTTATTAGACCTGGCATCTGAGGTACCCCTCCAAACATTTCCAATTAGATCAAAGAAAAAATCAATTATTGCAGAGTGTTCACAATGTATTATCCTATTGTAATTATTTCAGTAATTCCCCTTTTCTCTCTGAGCAAAGAGGAGACAAAAAGGGATGGATAGAAGAAGCTCTTTAGTTCTTAAAGATTCTTTGATGTAAACTCTTTAACAGTTCATCTGGGCTTGTCCACTCCTTTTTTTATTCCAGGCCAAATTTCTGCAGTTTCCCTGAGATTTTTCTGTTGAAGCGCTAGGCAGTTTACCCAGCTTTCCACTTTTCTTCTCAAGATGCGTACGGAGGCCTGCGAACTCACTACCGGCAAAAGTCCAGTGAACTGGGAGAGGCGGCGTCGCCTCCTCGATGCTCCTCCAGCTCCATTCAATTTGGCTATTTACTCTTGGCTCTGGCTTTTTTCTGCCCGCACTGGCTGTTCCAGAAGCGCCAGGCTGGCGGTCCTTAGCTCGCCTGTAGCTTTGCGGGGCGGAGGAGCGACGGCCGAGGAGCGGAGCGCGGGTGGCCTGTGGGCCGCCGGCACAGCTCCAGGACCCTGGGTACAGGGAAGAGCAGGAGCAGGCAGCCTGCAGGGGCCTAGGCCGGGCTTCGGGGAAGTGTAGCGCGCGCGACGGGCCCCGAAACCTGGGGCTTTGGGGGATGGTGCAGGTGCTGTAGCTCAGAGCGCCGCCATCTGGGTGGCCTCTGGCTTTTACCCAAGCCTTCTCCTCCAAGCAGCCCTCCCGAGTGTCGCCTGGGTGCTTGCAGTCAAGCTCCAGGGGCCAAGCCGGGGATGGCGGCGGCGTAACCGGGGCTGGGAAGAAGGGGAGCCGGAGGACAACGGGCTGCCGCAGCGCCGGAAAGCAATGGGGCAGCCGGAGGGGCAGCGACATCTGCGGGTCAAGGAGCGGCCGACCAACTCTGCGTGGTCGCGAGGCTGAGCGGGGGCTGCCCCGAGGATACCGGAGCGACGAGGCTAGGCGGGCCGCACTTCCCTAGGGCGACCGGCGGGAGGAGCAGCGACGCCCCTTGCTCCGCGCCCCTGGCTACGCGCTCATACCCGCCCCAGGTCTCAAAACTCGGTGCTGTCCGTGGATCTTGGGCTTGGGTTTGTCCAGTCACCTCGAGCGACTCGGAGAACCCGGCTTTCCCATTAGGAACGGAGATTACGCTTTGTCCCTGGCTTTTAGAAAGTTAGTTCAACACTTTGGATCATCAATCCTAAGAAGGAAAAATAAAGACATCGTGGTCTGCCTCTGAATGGATCGGTGTCGGAGGATTCCCGAAAGTAGAGAGAACCAGTTTTAGCCGGCGCGGCGAGCGCTGCCCACTGACACTTCAGCCCCGGAAAGGGTTAATTGCATCCTGCCGGGTCGGTTTACATGTAAATAGAGAGCAGCTGCTCCGCGCGGGCTCGGACTGGCTCTTTTAAGTTTTTGATT